AACTTGTTTTTGCCCCCCCCCCCCCCTTCCGCTCCGCTCCCCATGCCCCAAGCAGGGACGCCAGACCTCTGAGCCTGGAGCCAGGCCTAGGGACGGGGCCTGTGAGTCTCAGAAAAGGCCCAGGACCGAAGATAAAGATGGATTCCAAAAATCATATAAACCCTAACACTACATGATAGGTGACAAACCCAGTCGTTCGGAGCACTATTATCCAATCTGTGGAGAGAAAAAGAATGGGTGCCATCTCCCACATTTTACGAGGGACTACTCTGTCCCTCCAAAAAACCACCACAGCCTTGCACGATATGACTAAGAACAGTAGCTAGGTGGGCAAACCGTCATCATTGGGGCCAGGGATGATGGACTCCAAATAGCACAGGCAGCAACACGACCGTGGCAATCATGAAATAAGCGGTTCGAAAGACTGGTTCGAAAGAACTCGTAGGACTGACCATAGGACGAAACTGGCGGAATGGATTGAGAAAATACTTTAAACAAGTAATGACCGATCCGCAAGAAGCTCAGATACTAATGATAAGATGATATGTTGGATCGTGCACTCAAACACATGAAGGATATGATGAATAGTTGCCAGAAACCCCAAATCGGGTAGGTTGGGTGGCAAACCCAAAATCCGAAACTTCACAAGACTATGGTGGGTGGCCAAGACAGTCCCATCTAATAGGGCATGATGGTTGTCAATATAGGAACCCTGGAAAGATATAATGGATGACAAATGTTACAAGCTTTGAAAAGTCATACCATCTGAACATGCTGAGTAATCACAAGCCCACGTTCTGAAGGGAAATAACACATCCGGATACGCTGAACGGGTGACTTGATAGCAGAAACCGACGTCTCTGCTGTACGCTTGGGCTTATGACCTACCATTGATGGATAAGCTTAGGAAAGATCGCGTCGTGGCATTTAAGATTTATAACTGGGGCGGTGTGCGTGTATAAAAAACTACATATACATACATACCATACATACATACATACATACATACATACGTACGTACGTACATACATACATACATACATGTTCTAGGATCCGAAACCTCAAAGTGAGCCTTCCCTGAAGCAACGTCCCAAACGAAGCGGGCTCAGGTGCTTCTTGAGATGCCGCCCGGAAGCAGAGCATAGCCGAAGGGTCGAAACTTGTGCAGCGCATAGCTCAGGGAGCAACCCTGAAAAGGATTCAACAGGTCGACGTCATAAACATCGTTCCAGTGTGGGGAGAGCCTGCTGTGCCACTGCAAAGAGAAGCGAAAAGGGGGCGGGATGTGCGTTATGATCTCCAAGTGGATCACCTTTGGCCGCAGGACCCTCAGCAGCTCCTCAATGATCAGGCAGTCCACACCATCCAGGTCGACGACCAGGAAATCCAAGGGCCAAGGCTTTCGCGCCCCCCCGAAGATGAGCTTCAGGTAAGGCAGCAGCTGCTCAACTACTTGGGTCGGATCCAGGGTCAGATGCACCTCGGATTGCCGCTCTCAGGAAAACAGGTTATGCATGCATATGCACTCTGTACCCACTCTACTGAAACACTTCTGGATATACAGTTTAGTGATGTATGTGTAGATACGCAGATGGACAGACAGACAGGCAGCCAAAGAAACAAACACACAGAGAGATACCTAGCTGACTAGCTACATACACAGATAGACGGACAGGTAGATACATAAGCAGGTAGTAGACAGACAGACAGACAGACTGACAGACAAATAGATACATAGATAGACAGATAGATCGATAGATAGATAGAAAAAGGTGGACAGACAAATACACATAAATGTAAACAGATTGATACCTAGCTGGCTATCTAGATAGACAGGCAGATAGACAGCTCAGCTAGCTAGAAGATAGATAGATACTAGATAGATAGACAGATGGATAGATATGTAGACAGATAGTTAGTTAGATAGATAGAGAAAAAGGTGGACAGATAGATAGAGAAAGCCTCTCCCCCTGTTGTGGTAGGTCTCTGAACAAGAACCCAGGCACGGGCAGCACACGCGCTGGGGTGTTCGACATGGTGGCCCTGCAAACATCCAGGCGGCTGCTGTTGGAGTCGACGGCGATTCCTTTTATGAGGGTTCTGAGAGGTGCTTTGTTGGGTATATCCAGGTTGTCCAAAGGGCTTAAGTTTAGGGATCTACATTAATTCAACTTACCCTACCAGGGGTATATGGCGAAAAATGTAAATACAAAAAATAAAAATAAAAATATAAATAAATACATACATACATGAATAAATGAATAAATATAAAAATACAAATAAATAAATATATGTATATATATATATGTATGTATGTATGTATGTATGTATGTATGTATGTATGTATACATGCTAGCTTCCTTTCTAGAGCAGCTTGAACTTTAGCCCCTCAAAGTAACATGAACCCAGGCTCCGACCATGCCGTCGCCTTCAGCCGAGCTGAGGAGTTGGTGCAAAGGGTCCGGTGCCTGACAAGACTGGTCCCTCAACCCTAGAGATACTATATATACTATATATGCTATATACACTGTGAATACTATGCATATTATAGACTCTCTCTCTCTCTATATATATATATATAGATAGATAGTATAGTATATAGAGCCCATGAAGGCCGGTAGGATCGGCACCCTAAACTCTAAGCCCTTTTCAAGCCTCTAAACTCTAAACCCTTAAGGACGAAACCCCATGTTTAAAAGAACCTAAGGCCCTACAAACGCCTGTGCACCCATTCTAAGCCCCAGAAACCGTAGAACGCTAAAGTACCCTTCAACACCTTCATAGAGCCTTCATATCCTCATAAAGCCTTCTAGACAGAACCGTTACGCATCTCTCCCCATCCGCCTGGCATGTCCCAGACCCCAAGTTCAGGAAGGTGCCAGAGGCCGGCGCACGAAAATAGGCCAGGAGGAGGGCCATCTGCCAAAGGACTCCGGAGGAGTCCATCGTTTGCTCCTTACCATAGGAAGGTCAGGTAAGGCTTTAAACTTGCAGAAACGTAAATTTTTAGAAACGTAGTACTGGCTGTTACTAGCTTATAAAAACAAGGCTGCGGCTTCTGTAGGGGCGCCGTGTGTTTTGTGGGATTTGTGAAAAGAGTGCTTTATTGCAATGTTCTTAAACGTGTGGCAAAACGTGCGAATGGTTTACAAAGCTCAGATGAAGAGTGTGAGAATCTCCGAGACTGTGTGTACTTTTCTAGGATTGTCGATATTTTCCCATGCTTTGAGACACATTTTTGGAGCCGGTCAGGGACAAGTTTGTGTGTTGGATGCACACGACTACAGGTTCTGCTAAACGATAGATGCCCGACGAGCACGTGTGTGCACCAGTGCGTGGCCGCGAACTGTTGTTGGAAAGTAGTTGATGACTCCACTCTCAGCTTATCCCTTGAAAGTTGCAATTGTGGCCGAGCGGAGAGTGTTGAGCCACAAAGTTGCGCTTGTGGCGGAGCGGAGTGTATTGAGCCATGCAATATAAGAGGGTCCGACATCACGAAAGTACTGTAAGAACCGAGTAAAACAGCTCTTGTGGAGATATTGTTCGGGGTGTCTGTCTTACAATGTCGTCATCATCCCCCCCCCCCGCCTCCCCCCCCATAACAAGTACCCCAAAACCCACTGGAAGCTGCAACAAGCAGTCTCGGGCCCTAGGGGCGCCGCCACCAAAAACAACGACAGGAACCGTCGGAAAGCAAAATAAAGTCACGTAATGAAAGCTTGTCTGACTTGTAAGAAACCAAAAGCTTGGTATTTTGAGAACGGAGGCTCGATGGAGCCCGAAGGGCAGATCAAGCTTGGGCTCTTGTCCCCCAGCCGGAAGCGAAGGCGCGTGTCCTCAAAGGAAGCCTCAGGCTGCAATGTTTGGAGTCTGGCCTCCTGGGTTTGATGAGGTGTTAGAGGTGTTGGGCTTAGGCCTCATCAATGGCGAAGCCGGGAAAGTTCTCGTGGAACTGCTGCACTTCTTCGGCAGGCAGGTGCGGCGTCGCAGCAAAGAAAGCATTGTACAGTATGCTCCCCTCTGCAGACTGGCCCTGCGAGCAGCAGTGGCTCGAAATGCTGTGGGCAGGCCAGCAGGCACGTACTTGTTGTGCAATCCCCGGGCAGCACCAGGAAGGGTGGCGGTCGTAGGACCAGCAGGACTTAGAAACATTCATCTGGTGAACCCCAGGCCCAGATCGCGAGAAATGAACAAACTCACCTTCGAAAGTCTGAAGGACCTCCTTCTGCGCTCCATGGCGATATGGATCCACAGGTGCAATCTCCACATAGTTGTGCCACCGGGATCCAAACCAAACCACTCCGAGCGTGCCCCCGACTCTGCCGCGCAATCTCTCACCGCGGCTGCCGTCGCAGAATGGGTCCACGGTTCTCCTACGGTCGGTCAAAAGCCAGGGAAGTCTTCACAAGGCGCTCAAGAATAATGAGCAGAACACCTGAACTTCAGAGGCCCAGCTTCAGACATTGATTCGAGGAGCCCCGGAAGCAGCCGTAGTCCTTTTTGAATTGCCACAGCTCGCATGCCTCGTCGGCACAGCAGCTGTCGCGACAGAGTGCCAGGCTGGAGGAGGTCGGATCGAATTTCAGGCCGTAGCCTCAACAGCTGATGGTTTGGGTTTGAGATAACGGGTTTGTATGGAGAGAAACTCTTGCGAACAGTCAGAAGCCCAAACTCGCATAAGTAGATGCAAGGCCACAAACAACAACAAACTAAACCATCAGCAGCACCTTCCAACTCTGATAACCTCAGCCGAAAAAATCCGTGTGCATCGCTCATTTTTCAATACCCGGGCTACATGAACCCAAGATTAAGTAGCATTGTTTTCCATCCAAGATCTCCACAACGGGGCAAAGCTTCGTTGCCACTGCACTCGCGCCCATAAGCAATGTGGCAACCATAGCTGCGCTCAAGGCTACAGCAGTGATTGTGCCCTAACCCTCGCGAGGAATGTCGTGCGCTGTTTCGAACTTCGGGCTGTAATGTTCGGGTTAGCAGTATTTGGTGTTCCCTGTCGCAGCTCGGGGTTACAGCCGCGAGGGTTGGAATGCGTTTGTGTGGGTGCGTGCTTGGCTTTGCTGTGTCGTCTTTCGGGTTTTGGTTCCAAGTTTGTTGCTAAGGATGGGTTGGCTGCGGTCCGAAAGACCTGAACCGTTGTTTCTGCGTCTGTTCAAGGTTCGGGTGGTTTAAAGTTCCCGGAGCAGCATACTTTGCTCGAAATGCGAGTACAAATCAGTAGGTACAGCTAGCGATTGACAAGTGACCAGTGCTACAAAGGGACTTGTAAGTTGTTGCTGCACCGGTCCGTTTGTGTTTACGGGCTTGCAGCTCGTCCGAATACCTGAAACCCACGCCCGAACAGCCTCGAGACCAAAGACATTTCCATAGAGGTGAAAGATCGCAGAAACCGGCAGATATCTTGGCAACTGCAGCAAGCCAGGTGTGGATGGTGAGTCGTGTCGGTTCGGGCTCAGGTCGAGTGGTACCAGTAGCAGCAGCAGCAGTAGTAGTAGCAGCAGCAGTAGCAGCAGCAGTAGCAGTAGCAGTAGCAGGAGCAGGAGCAGTAGTAGCTATAATAATAGTAACAGCACTAAGGGTAGTAGTGTTAGAAGTAGTGCTAGGGACCTGTGTCATGCAATGCAGATGCGAGAATGGCAGCGGTTAGATAGTATACAGTACGTAGCTCATGATATAGCCTACTAATCATGAACTTCAGGTGCGCAAAGAAAGCGGGCAGAAGCTTCAAGCTGGATACACCAGTGGGAGATCAGGAGATCCGCAGGAGTGAAGTTGCAGAAGGAGCAACATGCAAGCTGGCATGGTTGGATATCTTCTAGTGGATTCCAACACGTCATCGGAATCGGAAACATCCCATACTTTCAGGACAAACTGATATCGTGGCAATCTGGGGGTTCCAGACCCATGCTTCACAACTCCGTGATTCAGCATGAGTATGTTAACGCGCTTGCTTAGCTGAGCTGGCTTCCGAGCGTGTTTGCATGGAGGGACGCATGAAACTGAACCCGACGTTACTACAAAATTCCAAAGTAACTGCGCCAAGCACCTTGGCACTGACCCCTCAACCGTGAAGAAGCAAGAACCTTCCTCTTGTTGAGGTATGCTGCCATGCTAAGTCAAAGCAGCCGCGCAAGGCGTCGACGTTGATGATATGAAGAGAGCAGGAGATCTTGATCATGGCAAGCGCGAGTTTCCAGAGGCATCTCTGCAAAGGGTGGTCGGATGATGCTGATGTTGATGATGGTGACGATGACCGTGGTAGGTATGACGAGGACAATGTTGTCGTCTTGTACTGACAAGATGCTGACTGGTCATGATGGAGATGGTGAAGGTGATGGTGACAGCGATACTGCTGAGGGTGTCGATGTGGATTGGGATTGTGAAAAGTCTGCTCATCGCGACGGTGATAATGGTGGGGGGGGGATCTGAGTTGGTTGATGACTTATATATAACCAGGTAACATTCTGAGAGTACGGAAACTACCGCGAATTAATTCCCAAACCTCTCGAACGAACCCCCAACTGCCTGGCCTTTACCGTCGTTTATCGCTATAGGGATGGCGCTTGAGCGTGGAAAAGCTTTGACTGAGTTTACCATGAGCCTCAGGTGCCTCAGGTGACTAAGGCGACTGAGGTAAGAGAACTGTTGTTTCCAGGCACACATCTGATCTTGCGCGGCAAGCAAGCAAGCAAGCTGGGGATCCGGTCTGCACCCGAGTTTACCGAGAGGTGCACCCAGCGAAAAAGAATTGTTGGTTAAAACGCCGCTACTTTGCTCTGCCTGTACATACAAAATCATACAAACAATAAACTAATTGTACTCCATTTTATTTTCTGTCGGAGTTGTCCCTAGAGCCCGGGCTCGGAGACGGGGAGGGTGTTGGCGAAGGCGAGGGTGGCGAGGGCGGCGGCGGTGGAGGCGGAGGGGCTGGGCAATCCTTGGTGAGCTCATTGCACGGCGACCCAAGCCTGGGATGCAGACAGCAGGTCACCCTGTTGTAGATTCTGACTCATTAAGGCAGTTTTAGTTCAAGTCCCCTTAAGAGCAACCCAGAAACCTTGCAGTGATTGCAGAGTAGAAAGCTCCAAAGCCAAGTCCACGCCTTCTACCCACCCCCCGGCGGCGTCGGCGCCCTTGGCCCTTGTACGCGCATCTCAAGCCACGAACACCGCCTTCATCGCAAAAGAATGGATAGTAGGTCGTCTGCGCTTGACACCACTTGTTTGCCCCCCAGTACCTTGTGGGCCCGCGGCATCCTACAACGGTGTTAGTTGGGAGCGATGAGAACACAAACGGTAAGGGCTCTAAATCCCCACAGGGCTTAGGGTTTCGGAGGATTCTTCTTACATGGTACAAGAACCGTGCCCCCAGGTGCGAGTGACAGTTGCATGAAATCGGGACGTAGCCGCTCGCTCCGTAGAACCATTTACCGCTCTCTTCCACATATTTGCCGTCACCCGGCGATGTAACCAGGCGAAGCCTTACAAACTGCGTCAACGTTGCAAGAGTACCGGCATCAGCAGGTTCCCAAACCGGACCGTACATGAACCCTAGCAAAGACATGCATATCATGGGTACGGCATTCGAGAAGATGCTTAGAAGACAGGTCGAGAAGCAGCCTGACATCCAGGTGACAAACCTAGTCTCCCGAACTCCAAAACTAAGCTGAAACGTTGCGCGAGCTGGTTCCTGCAGAATCCCTTGTGCTAGTATGACCTTTGCTCACTAAACCGCACACCAATCGATGCGCAACTTCTTTTGGTCTGCAAGGAGCTCGCTGTTGGGAGGTGCACACAACGATGATGCTGCCAAGGACTGCTGTTTGGACGAGTGAGTCCTGCAGCTGTTGGGTGTATCTGAACCTCAGAGGCGTTGACATCTAAGGTTCAGGATCCTTAGCAGCAGGGTTCTTTTTTTTTTTTTGGGTTTAGGGTTTAGGGGTTTAGGGTTTAGGGTTTAGGGTTCAGGGCTTAGGGTTTAGGGTTTAGCCTTCAAAGCGAAACTTGGAACACGATCATGCAGGACCAGCAGTTGTGAGCCTGGATCTAACAAGCTGGGCTCAAGTGCGCTGCTCAAAGTCCGAACCAAATCCAGACCCCAAGGCGGAACGGATTTTCAGGCTCTGCTCGTTCCAAGTCACCCGACTTCTGCCCAATCGTGACACCATCTCCGCGATGCAAGGGCTGGCTCGTGCACAGCAAGGCCTCGTCGGTACCGTCGCAAGTTTTCGAGGAAATTGCATCATCTCCCGACTTGGTATTCGCCTCTCGGTAGTCGACTTCCTGTGACGGGCTTCAAGGTTCGGTCTGCATTATGGGGTTTAAGATAAAAGCTACAAGGTAGAACTCAAGATCTGCGATTACGTACGGATGCTGATCAATTCCTCCCCTCAAACAAAGCCAGCTGGAGCCAGGGACCAGAATGAGGCCATAGCAATCCCCCCCGTTAGGTCACTTAGTGGTCCCGAATCCTTCCTCTCACTACGGCCCAGCCCCCCCCCTCTTGCAGGCCCAAAAAGCCCTCCCGGATCTCCTCGTTCTGCTCGATGCAGATACCAAAAACGTAGGCACCCTCTGAATCATCGGCCTCTGGTCCACCAAATATGCGGCGGCGACGGTGCGCGATATCTTTGGGCACTTGCCTCCAAAAAATGCCAACAGCCCAAGCAAATGGGGCGTTGACCGTTCTTGCAAGGGACTGATACGGCTCGAACCCTAAACCCTAAATTCCTAAACCCGTAGTAAATATTAATGGCTTCAATGCTGGATCAACCTGGGACTAAGGGACTGAAAGTTGGTCGTCAGTTGAAGAGATTGGTCTTTGAGATGTCAGGCCCTCAACACCAACATCCGTCAAAGAAGGACTCTAACATACTCTAACTTACAGTCATTTTTCGGCAAGGCATCGTGAGAGCCAGGGTACACACCAAGCGATGCGGATTTTCATAGGACCGCACCACCATCAATATGAGTCAGATTATGAGGGCCCCATGTCCATTCTTAACCCCACACACACAGACCTATCAGGAGTAAGGATCCGAGTTGTTGGGAATGTTGACCAGGGGCTCACTGACTGCGGGTCGCCTCGTGCATTTTCTGTTGTGGACGTCGGGCGCGCAAAGACTCGAACCCTCGCAATACTTCATCCCCCACGGTGACCGGCAAAGACAAGCGTAGGGCCGAGCATCGTGGTTGCAGGTCACCTGAGGCAGAGCCGCATTTGGACGTTGCCCGGACTGACAAGAATCCTTCAACTAAGAACTGACTTGTGGCAAAGTGTCATCGACGCTTTGGGGCATCCATGTTTTCCTATCTCCATCAATCATACTTCCTGCAGCTCGCAAACGGACCCTGGCTCACCTCCACCGTTCCCTCCTGAAGGGCATAGCCGGTGCGCGTCGGAGGTGGGAAGAGATACTCGTATGGACCTTGGCCGAGGCCATGTTTGATGTTCTCCCGGCTGCAGGCAGAATGGCTTCAAGGTGACATCAAGGAGCCAAAGAATGTGCCAAGCTTCGGGAGCAGCAAAGTCCCTACACCAGGCGTTCCAGAGCCCCTACCCCTACTCGTGACCAAACCCTTACTTGTGACCGTACTGGAGACTGATGCTCCGGCCAGAGTTTTCGTTCTTCACAAACTCAACCAACACATTCCAATGACAAGAAGACGAATTATATGGATGTGTGAAGCAAACGAAAGTCAGGTCTTGACCCAAAAAATATGAAGAGAGAAGATGAGCAAATACTGCTGGTCGGAAAAGGCACCGCTTTGCACCGCAAAGGTTCTCATGTTGCTGCACACCGCAACTGCTCTGATGGACGATCCCGAGGAAAACGCTCTACATCCGTTGTTTCCCCGGCTGTTGCGAGTGTACCTGGGCATTTTTAACAGACAGCGGCATCGCAATATATCGGACACAGTCAAGAAACAATGAAGCCCGACATGCCCATGTCCTCCGTGATGTCTCCTAGTTGGTCTAACAATTTTGACGATGGCTTGCATTCAGCAACAGGGGTTGTCAACAGCATTTTCCGGCCCACTTCGCTTGCACCCTCGGCCTATTCTGCTGTCTAAGGTACTCCACGCCATCTCCGGAATTAGGAGGGTCCGTCATGCACATCAGTACCCAGTTGTTTGTTGGAGTCTCCTTTCTGCGAGGGTCATACCCCGGGCAGTAGACAGCCTTGCTGTTGTCATTGCCAGAGACATACGATGAGACATGGATGGAGATATAGTGAGCCCATCATATACCGGGTCATCGCGCTGCAAGAGCTGAATCCTCAGCTCTGGGGATATCTGTTGCCGAAAGGAAAAGCTTGTCAGCTTGTGTCAAGGAAGCTAAACATCCACGTTCTTTGGGACCCTAAACTCCTAAGCCAAGAAGCATGGCCATGAGATCCGGCGACACCTCGCACGCCTCTCCCTCGCAAGAAGCCGTTGACGTACCATTGATGGCGGCGCCTCCCACGGGCAATAGGGTTTAGATGTTTTTCGACTCTCACACTCGCATGAGGCAGGCAAGGCTCCACACGATGGGTTTAGGGTTTAGGACTTTTGTCCCCTCTCGCATGGCTTAGGGCTTAGGGTTCAGGAGCGCTACAACCTCATGGACTCATCCACGACCTGCCCGAAGTTTTTGAATCCAGATGGGCTGCTGCTCCGCAACCTAAACAACTAGAAGACATGTGGCCCGAAAGCATCATTTGCGAAGAGTTTAGCGCTATGTAAAGTCAGANNGAGTACAGAGAATCTAGTGCATAGAGTCATATAATCACGGAGTCAAGTGCATAGAGTCATCAAATACAAAGTCCAGGTTTAGAGTTTAGGGTTTAGGGTTCAGGGTACTCGATGTACTTGACTCTATGGACTCTACGTGTATCTCCACTCTATGTTTAGCGTCACTTCACTCTGTGTTTGTCACCCGCACTCGACTCTATTTACTATACTTTACATGTACTTGACTCTATGTTTATCGTG